CATTTTCGTTGTGAGCATCAAAATGAACATCACAATTTTGGTATGTGTTCTTTCCATTTTGTTTTTTTATGTAAAATGTGAATCCATTGATCTCATACCCTTGGTACTTAAGATATGTACTCGAAGGTCCCTTGGCTAAGGCATCCAGTTGATTACCCAACTTTATTCCAAGCAAGCGGCGTCTCAACCAGTTGACAAATTCCTCCTTATGATTTTTATCCAGCCAAGCCTGTGACCTGCTTGGATACAGAGTTTGCAGCGATTGCCTATGCTCGTCAATGTATGGCATCACACCCTCAGCTTGCTGGAGAACAGTGAACTATGTCTATCTGAAAGAAACAGGGTCGTCTACTATAACAGATTTCTCCCCAATCGTTCCTTTGCCACGTAGTCTTCCCCCATGATGAGATTCTGGAACTGCGACCCTTTTGATGTCTAGATAATATGTGCAGAACTCAATGGCCTCCTCTGTTGACCATCCTTCAACCTTGTTCTCTTCTGGCCTGAATCCGTTCCTAACATACCTCCTAAAAACTTTTATCAATCTTTCGAAAGGGAATATCTGATGCAGGTATATTAGGCCAATGGCTCTAATTTGGTCAACAAGATGAATGAGCAGATGCAAAGATATATCAAAGTAAGTTAGCGGGAAATGCATCTCAAGCCTAACGAGAGTTTCGGCTATGTCTCGCTGCAACTGCTCTAGCGTGGACACATCAATAACCTTTTTTTAGACCGCGTTGAAGAACGAGCACAACTTTATGATTGGGGTGCGGACCTTTGGGGGAGGATACCATGCAGGGCAATATGGAGCAGCTGAGTCATAATGACATGACAGTCATGGGCCTTCATAGGGCCATAGTTGAACTTGAGTTCTCTCATGTTCACTAGCCTCTTCGGATTTGCACAGTAGCCCGTCAGGACTTTCAGTTCATTGAAGAAAGAAATAAGCGCACGGTTTTCTTCCTTCTTCAATATCCATGACGCAACCGAAAGTTTGAACTGGCCATTCTCTAGCTCCATGGGATGCAGCTCCTTCCTGATTCCCAAGTGTTGCATGTTTAGGTGTGTGGCTAGTGAATCCTTCGATGTCCCCCCAGTGTCCATCAAGGTGTTAAGCGTGTTAGCGCACACATTTTTAGTGATGTGCATGGGATCAAGACAGTGGTGTACACTCAAAAATGGCCAGTAAGGTAGTTTCTAGAAAACTATTTTTTCCCCAAACACTCCCATCAGGCGCTGCTACTGCATTGTCCCTCTTCCCAAGGACAACCTCCAGTTTGTTGAATTCTCGAAGTATCGCAGGCCCGTCTCGATATTTTGGAGCTAAACGTTTCTCAATAGTACCATTGAAATCTTTTCTGTTCCTACGGTAAGGGTGATCCTTAGGTAGGAACCTACAGTGTTCCATATAAAGTATTTTTGAGTTATTTGGCAGATTTACCGCATCGGTGTCGTCCAAGCACTCGACACATCTAGTATAGCCTTTTGTCTTCTCTCTAGACAACGAACCTCGACCTGGTAGGTCGGTGATTGTAGCGATAAGTACTCCCTTGATCGTGACATGTTCCTTTTTGTACTCGTCTCAAACATCCGGCACACCCTTTCCAAATATATCCACTAGTTCATCGATCACTGGTTCCAGAAACACATCGATGTCATTTTCAGGTTGCCTTGGCCCTTGGATCAGTAGTGGCATCTGGATGTACGACCGCTTCATACAGACCCATGGTGGAAGGTTGTATATACAGAGTGTCATTGGCCAGGTGCTATGATTGCTTCTAACTTGGTCAAAAGGATTCATCCCATCTATGCTCAAAGCAAACCAAAGGTGTGCCTTACCTCTCCATCGATGTCCTTATAGAACATAGTGTTGGCAGTCCTTCAGTCATGCCCATCGGCAGGGTGCCTCATCATTGTATCTTTCTTACGCTCTTCCCCATGCCAGCACAACAGCTTGGCTGACTTTGCACATGCAAACAGCCTATGCACCCGGGCAGCTATAGAGAAAATACCAAACGACCTTTACATGACCTCCTCTGGTCTTAGTACACTCATCTGACGGCCCTTCCTTGTACCGTGGAGCTTCACACTTGGGGTACATGTCCAAGTCTTTATATTTTTCTCCGTGGTACAATATGCAATCATTGGAACACACGTAGATTTTTTCAACCTCGATGCCGATGGGGCAGATCATTTGCTTGGCCAAGTATGTCTTTTCTGGCAACTCATTTTTTCTAAGAGCATTTTCCTTATTATACCTAATAACTGATCGAAGCCTTTATCGCTCAATCCGTTTGTCTATTTGAACTTTAATAGCACGATGTCGTCTTCCAGTTTGCTCATTGGACAATTCTTATACAATGGTGTTTTGCCATCTTGTCTCATTTTCTCTAGTTTTCTCAGCTATCTTTCACTAGGACATCCGGCCTCTACATTACGTAGCAACTGAAAAATGACATCGTTATTATCCTCGGTGTCGTCCGTTAGCGTGTTCCTAAACACATTATTAACTGTGGCCATAGGTTCCATGTTGACACCGGGTTCCTCGTCAGCATCGTGGATGGCTACGTCAGACATGTCCACATCATCATCGTTTCCTACGGAACATTCACACTAACCTCGCCATGTATAGTCCATATCGTATAGTTTGGCATGAACCCCTGGTAATCAAGTGCGATCGTATAGACTCAATTTGACGAAAGTTTCTTTGATTCTTGCAATCTTTGCATGGGCAGAAGACAGGGTTCCCATTCCCAGCATGGACTTTAGCATCGGTGATAAACTGGCTAACGCCATGCATGTACCGCTTGTCCGTTCGGGACAGATGAATCCACTCTCAATCCATCTCTGCACAAAAAAATATTGAGACAATAATTATAAAGAATTAATAAGAAATCGAGCTTCATGAACAACAATTGTAGCTCGAAAGTACCATTTTTGGAAAACATTATTGTACACTAATTATTGAAAAATTGAAATTGGTAGCCCCGGCCCTGTAAATTGAAAATCGTAGTAAAAAACAATTATTGCACAATAATGAAGAACAACTATTCTACTCCATGCCACATAAAAATGGAGACACTTATTTTAAAAAAGACTAAAATTGGAGATATGATCATAAACAACAATATAGCTCTAAACAATGCCCATATAAATTGAAAAACATAACCCCATAAAAAAATTATTGCACAATAATGAAGAACAATTATTCTACTCTATGCCGCATAAAAAATAGAGACACTAATTTTAAAAATAAGTCTAAAATTGGAGACATGATCATGAACAACAATGTAGCTCTAAACAATGCGTTGTTATGTGACACATAGATTAATTTTCTCAACAAATTATAAAAGAATCTACTCTACTTCTAAGAACTAATTATAGCATCACATACTAACAATGATGATCTTGACCACCATGGAATAATTAGCTAGGAATTTAAATATGTTCATAGACACCAACCTTTTGGATGATGAATTCACCATAATTTGAGTCTTGCACAAATGTCCAATTGAAAAAATACCCTCTAGAATGGAGAAAGAACTAGAATGAGAATCAAGCATTGTAGCCATCAAAACGAAGCTAATTAAGCAACAAAATCAAAGGAATAAATGTTTGTTACTAACCTTAAAGCAAAAATATCAAGCCATTCTTCAAAATCCAAGCGCTAGCTTCATGGTGAAGAGCAGCCGTAACAATGGAGGGAAGAGCCCAAACGCGCACCTCTGTTCTCGGCATGGAAGAGAGGAGGAAGAAGACGACGACTGTAGCCTTTTTGCGCTGTAGGCTTCTCACCGTCGGTTCATGGATAGAACCGACAGTGATAGAGCCCAATCACTGTCGGCTTTTGGCTTGAACCGGCAGTAATATGTGGCCATCAAGCCACTGCCGGTTAGAGACATAAACCGGCAGTGATAGTTGTCATCACTGTCGGTTGAGTCATATCCCAAATCAATTTCTGATTTTCAGAGCAAAGAATCGACAGTAAAGGGTCAACACTGTCGGCTCTCCTAATTCCGACAGTGAAGTGCTATTCTGTAGTAGTGGTAGGCGGGCTCCTCCCCCTCCTCCTGGATCTGTGCCCACCGGAGACGAAAATGATGACGACGGTGGCTAGGGTTCCGGCGAGCCTCTCCCTCAACTTTTGTCCTTATCCTTTCATAGAAAAAAGATTGTTTCTTGTGATTTGTGACTTGTGCCAAAAAAAAAAAGAAGATGAACCGTACCTATGGCTGGGGTGGTGGCCAGCGTCAGCGGCGGGCAGCGGGAGGAGGAAGAAGACCAGTAAAAAAAATCGGGTGCTCCCTCCCTCTCAAACAATCGAATCCGAGTTAGACAGGCTCATATTATTAGTGAACGAGCAACCAAATTAAAGTCTTCTTTCACCTTTCAGATTCCTCGTTGATCAATGGTAGCAAGGCAGTCACATCATATGGAGGCAAAACAAGTCGATATTCAGTAAAGCCGGACAACATTTCGTATTGATCATCTCGATGTCGTTTCGCTGTTTGCGTACGTCCATGAAAGGACAGACGCACCTAATTACGCCAGAAGACATACATTTAAGGAACAACCATCATGTAGGTAGAGTATAGTTCAAGACATGATATACTTCCTAGCTACCTTGTCCATCATGTACATCTGTACACATTATTGGCTTTTGTATTGTGCCGTTTAATGAAAATTTGGACCAGCAACCAAATATTATGAGATGGCTTTGTTTCATCGGCGGAATCAATACAATGAAGCAAACAGTACGTAGTTTGTTACGTACAAAGTGTCTATGTTCAAATGCATCATCATACGTGTTCTACTGAATTTTCAACTAATGTAACGGCCATCTCTTTGTGAATAACTAAAGATGTTTACGTGTAATAATACCATCAGAGATTGTAAGACGAGTGTATATCTCTCTCGCAGAGTACTGCACCGCTGTGGTCGATCGAGTCGAGGTCGAGTTATCCGATCCGTGCTAGGCGCGCGTTCAATGGCATCCATCAGGCCTCCAAGGAGAAGGACCTGTCGTCCTCGTCGCGGATGGAATTGATCATGCTGGCGACCTCCCGCATGGTCGGCGGCTGGGCAGAGCCGGGGGAGGCGTCGACGCACCGCATCGCGACCTGCAGCAGCCGCACCATGCGCTGCTCGGTGGACCCGGCGCCGCTGCCGGCGAGCAGCGCGCGGTCGAACACCTCGGCGGTCCACTCCTCCCGGATCACCGAGGTCACCCACCGCGCCAGCTCCGCGCCGTCGCCCTGCGCGGACGTCGCCTTCCCCGTCAGCAGCTCCAGCAGCAGCACGCCGAACGCGTACACGTCGGCGCGGAACGCCGCGGCGCTGTCTCTCCCGGCCGAGGGCGGCGCGGTGATGCCGTACTCGCTGATGCACGGGTCCATGCCGGCCGTGAAGAGGACGTTGGAGGCCTTGAGGTTGCCGTGCGCGATGGGGCCGTCGGCTGCGGCCTTCTCACCTGACGAGGAATTGGAGGCCGCGCCGCCGCCGCGCAGCGTGGTGTGCATGAACGCCATGACGTCGGCGACCTTGGCGGCGATGTGGAGGCGCGCCGGCCAATCCAGGGGGCCCTGGCTGTTCTCTATGGAGCCTGCACATTTGCATTTTTGTGAGACTCTGAAACTACTGAAACTCTAGTTACTCCCTTTATTTTAAATATATGAAGTTTAACAAAAATCTGCCATGAACTTCATATTATTCAAAACATTGAAACTACCGAATTTGCATATTCATTTCTAGTGTTAGGGCCTGTTTGATAATTGATACACACGTGACTAGTTACTACCTGGGGCTAAAATTAGCCTAAATTTACTATGGTTGGCTAACAACTAGTTAAATATTTTGCTAAACAATTAGCCTACCAATTAGCTCTACATTTTCAATGCATTAGAGCTAATTTTTAGCTAGCAGGCAATTACCTCATGTATCAAACTAGCCCTTATTCAGTGCTTAACTTTTGCTAGTTTACCTATTTTACCACTATTGTCCCCACTAATATCCATGTGAAGCTAAGCTCCGCCACTAGTTTACCTGTTCGCTTTGCTGAAAAGTCAGGCTAAAAAGTATTGTTCGTTGATTTGTTGTGAGAGGAAAACACTATTCCTTCGCTGAAAAAGTACGGCCGATGAGCCTCCGTGCTATGACAGCTGACAAGTCTACATTTACTAGTACAGTAGAACTTTTACAGGTTCGTTAGCCATACTGCCATAGGTCAACCGTAGGCAAATTGTACTGAAAATGGGTTGGGTATTGCAAAGTGAAATGGACTAGGCTAAGGTTATGGGCTCGAACAATTTCAGCTCAGAAAGAACTGATGCACGAGTCGTCGGCTGAATACGGCCCAAACTAGAATTTGAGAAGGCATGGGCTACTTTGCCTAGCTGAACTATGATGAGTTGCTCACAGCAGTTCAGCATTTTTTTCTAAAAAAAGCAGTTCAGCGTTCGGGCTGAACAGATCACATTGACCAAAAGAAAATTAGACCAATGAGGACCTTTTACTCCTCTCGTAAAATAAATTAAAAGGGCTTTGTTTATACATATTTACTCCTTCTCAGTCGCCTGGCGTGGAGCATATCCATCAGTCACCCGCCTCCCACGCTCTTTGCCCACGCCTCTCTCACATCTCCGGCAACCTCCTCCCCGGCGGCCGTGCCCATGCCCTTACTCTGGCGAGCTCTCGGGCGGCCACGCCCGCACCCCACCGCTCCCGCCCAACGCCCGCACCCGCACCCACGCTCGTCGGCCACGTCTACCGCACCCCCTTCTTCCCCAACTCCAATGGACTTAGAAGAGAAGGGTTTGGGGGACAAAGGCTAGCTAGGCGGTGGGGATGGCAGCAGGGCGGTTTAGGGGCCCTGGTGACGGTGGAGGCGATTGGGCCAGGTCGGGGCGGGGGAGCTTCATAGCCGGAGCTCACCGCAGGAGAAGGAGGGGGAGGGAAAAAAGGCGGTGGCCACGGAGCTCTGGCAAAACCCTAGCGCGCCGCATCGGAGGCGAGGACGATCTTGGAGGAGGGCGCCGAGAGGGAGAAGACGAGGCTGGCGCAAGTGAGGAAGATGGCGGGGGAGGCGTGAAGAAGAAGAAGCGAAGCGAAGATAAGGGGGCGAGATAGACCCTTGTTTATATGAAATTGTTCGTTCTCGTACATGAATGGAAAGTTTTATATCCCAATCGAAACATAATAAAGCAATGATAAATGGTTTGCACCTAAATATACCGTGAAGCCAAGCCAAAATAATATCTGACCCCAAACCATGGAAATAATCATATTTTGAACATAGCTAACTGATTTGTAAAAATGAAGTGGATTTCATTTATAACTTCTATTTATTTACGCCCATGAAAAAAGCAGAGGCTGAGAACGCACAAAAGAGGGCGGAGTTGTTGCAGGCGAAAAATGTTACCGTGCAGGAGCTTGGCGAGGCTGCCGTTGCTCTGGAACTCGTACACCACCAGCTTCTCCTGCATGGCGCAATAGAACGCCAGCGGAGGAAGCACGGCCGGGTGCTTGGCGAGCCCGACCCGCTCCATCCGCCGGCGGAACTCCTCCTCGTCCACCGCCGCGTCCTTCACGCGCTTCACCGCCAGCGCCGCGCCGCCCGGCACGACGACCTTGTACGAGCTCCCGAAGCGGCCCCGGCCCAGCAGCTCCGCGGGGGACTTGAGCAGGTCCTCGAACCGCAGCTCCTTGGCCGCCGCCGCCGCGGCGTTGGACGTGATCGAGGCCGTGACCGATCGGCGCAGCACCACCAGCGAGGCCGCCGGCGCGCCGCCCGCCTCGGCGGCCGCGCTGTGCTCGCCCGACGTCGGCAGCGAGTAGGCCGGCGTCTTGCTCGGGGTCGTCGCCGACGTCGTGGTCGTGGCCGTCGTCAGCCTGCTGCTGTCGTACACGCTCCGGCCTCGGCCAGGCTTGGACTTCAGCCCCAGCTTGCTCCGCTTCTTCTTGAAGCAGATCCTGTACAGGACGAAGGCCAGTACGGCGGCGCCCAGGAGCACGTACCCGAGGTACATGACAATCTTACGCACTGTTCTTGTCCTTGTCCTTGTCCTTGTCATCCTCCTTCCCGTCGCCGTCGTCGGCCTCGGAGCCCTTGCTCGGCGGCGCCGGGCAAGGAGCGAATAAGGGCCCGCCGCATATGCCAGCGGCGTTAGGCCAGAACCTCTCTTGGCCGAATCTGGTAGCGTTCTTGGGGATTGATCCGGTGAGGTTGTTGTTGGACACGTCGAAGCTGTGGCCTTGAATGTTGCTGAGGTTGAAGTCCGGGATCGTGCCGCTGAAATGGTTGTCGTTCGCCAGGAACCTCACCAGCCCATGCTTGCTGAGGTCGCCGGGAAGTTCGCCAGAGAAGTTGTTTCTGGAAACCTCTATCACCTGTAAGCTCTTCAACTGGGCGACGGAAGGCGGCAGGTTACCTGAGAGCTGGTTGCCGCTGACGATCAGGTGTGTGAGTCCCGAGCAGGCCGAGATGCCCTCGGGGAGGCCGCCGCGCAGGCTGTTGTTGTAAAGGTTCACCACGCGGAGAGCCGGCGCGGCGCAGAGCAGCGCCGCATCGATGGTGCCGTTCAGGCCCTGTACATCAAGGTCTATCCTCTTGATGTGGCCATTGTTTCCACCTGCGTCGAAGCAGTGGACAGTTTTGCCCCACAGCGAGATTTTGTTGCCGGGAACACACGGGCTGATCGACGCGTTCCACCCCAGCCTGATCGCCGTCTGGCCGCCGTCGTCCCCGGCCAGCGCGGTCAAGAAGCTGACGAGCGACGCCGTGACATCAGGAGATTCGTCACCTCGCACCCGACAAGGGCAACATGCAAGCAGCACTAAGAGTGCTGCTGCAAGTGCAGTGAGAGTGAGAGCCTTCGCCATAAACACGTACGGCTCAGGACGGAGCAGCAACAAGTGCCAAGAACTGATAAATAACCAGCGCCGGAGGAGGTGCTCAGGAGCAACGGCACGCGCTCGGTGCCTGATTGTCTAACGCCTACGAGCTGGACATGGCAAGCAACGCTGAGATGCCAGGAGTTTGAAGCGTCCGCGTGCGCGGGGTGTGAAAAGCTCGCGCCAAAGCTGGCTCGTTCGATGCGGACGATGGGGCAGATGCTACGAAGCAGGGGAAGGCCCGGTCCGCCTTGTGCGCACGCGGCACAGCAGGGAGTCGGTCGCAGGGGACAGGAAGGTGCGGGCAAACTGCAGTGTTGGAGGGGCGCCAGGTGCCGGGCAAGCGCCTCCGTCCGCGTACGCCGGCCGGCAGCCCATGGCGACGGCACGAACAGGTCCGGCACTCCGGTTAACGGGCGTGTCGCCGTCGTCGTTGCTGAAAATATGTATCCCGATGTCGACAGGAATATTTCGGCTTGACGTAGCTGAACTCGACATATGTCTGAAGCTGTTGTTACATGTGCTACTTACTAGTAGTTGGCTGGCACTGATGAGGCGAGCATGATCTGGTCAGGGGTCGGGGTTTGCCATATACAGTATTATCTTATCTTTGTATATCACTAGACAGTAGACTCAGATTTGGTACTGATCCAACAGTGACAGCTCCGTATCGTATACGCGCCGGCCGCCATGGTGCCGGCGCCTCAATGAACCAATGCGCCTTCACCTAGGGCCTATCCGTCCACTTCCCCATCCATAATAAGCCCGGATCACCGGAGAAAAGAAAAGAAAAATACACTCAAAATTGTTCACACACAGATAGACCAAAGAAATTGAGTCTTTTACTACTAGACCATTATAAAAGATCGCAATTTCTTTCGTACAGTTTAAAAAGTTCCGAAGATTTCTGAAATATAGCTCTAAACTTTTTTCCTTCCATGAGGCTGCTATTGATTTGCATCTCATTTTAACGGGGATTCAGCTCTCTCAAGTGGAGAGAATTTTTATTTTTTAATCCTTTTTTATTTAATATTTTAATAATAATCGCACCTGAATTTTTTTTGGATCGGACCCTTTTGGTCGCGCCGGTGCCGCTGGCGTGACTAAATAACGCTGTCGCGCCAATGCATATGGCGCGCACAGCGTTATTTAGTCGCGCTAGCGGCACCGGCGCGACCAAAAGGGTCAGATCCGCAAAAAAAATTTAGGGGCGATTATTATTAAAATATTGAATAAAAATGATTAAAAATATAAAAAATTCCCTCAAGTGGGTCCAAGGCTCCATGGCACTGAAAATGTCTATGGTACCCTCTCGTCGTTGGGCTTAACAAAACCACCGCACCCTACTCTCTTGACTCTCACTCATTTCATGTTGACTTGACCTCTCTCTCACTCACCTTCCATTCACTCAAGCTCTCTCTCTCTCACTAAAACCCTAGTGGCTGCGGCGTGGAAGGGAATAAACCAAACAAATGCACCCTCTATTCATTGCATGGGATAGGCGGAGGACGGACTGAGATTTGGGGACGGATTGGACCGGGTGAGGAGGAGGAATCACGAACAATGGAGCGGGTGGGCCTTCGGACTGGCTCCCAAATGGGTGAATTGTTTTCCTATTCGATTGGTTCTCATTTTGCATAGTGTTGCTATATAGCTCATAATGCATTGATTCATTAGGATTGATCTCATTAGATGTATATAAACTCGTTGTTGTTCATATGTAGGATGGACCCGGAGACTAGCTACAACCTAGATATCAGGACAATTGCTTCCAATTTGTGTGCGCGGTGGTTTTCCATAAACAAAGTTATCGATTTTGATATAAAAAATTTCAAAGACTTTGTGGATGATATTCTAGAGAAGTATCCATGCAGTTATGGTAATGTAGTGAAGGTCTTCTACTTCTGTGCTGATAGCAAAGCCAACATTGAAACCAGTTCGGCTTAGTTCAGATGTTTAGAAAACGTAAGGCTACCAAGTGTTGTTTGTTGTCTGTTGCTTACTTTAGTCCTGCTAGTGAGCCACCTAGCATACCATCCTAGTACAGTAACACTCAAGGATCAGTAGAAGTCCCATGCACTCCCTCATTGGTGTTGATGGCCATTAATTACACACCATTTTGACCATCAACATTGCACCAAAAGTGAATGTATGGGAAAGAAAAGTGCAACCTCCCAAGAAGGTAGATGAATCCACCAAGAAGCAATCAAATCCCAAGAAGAATGAACAAACATGGTGGAAGAAAGAAGAACCTTCATCTATATCTTCTTCTCCTGGACCCGAAAAAGCATCCACCAAGGAACATGTTGGAGAAGTCCCACTCAAGGGCTCAAAACTATGAGCCCCATCGAAGGTAAAATCGGTATGTATCCAATGTTTGCTTTCATGCATTGTTTTATCTTTTAAATTTTCTAATGTTTAATTACTAAAATCAATTTTGTTAATGCATATAGCTTTGAAAATAACATATAAAAACCAGTTTTCCCTCTTTCAAGCTGTCTCCAAATGCTAGAAAATAAATAAATAAATAAATAAAATATATAGTAATAATAATAAAGATAGATAACAATAATAAAACGAGTAGCATAATAATAAAATGACCATAAGACAAAGAAGTAGAGCCACCTCTTCTTGTGCCATGAACATGAGTAATCTCTGAAGAAGAAAACAACTCTTGCAAGAGATAAGCTTGGGGGAACTTGTCCGCATCGAGGTATGAATCGTAAACAACTTTTACATTTTTTTGCAATTTGTTGTAAATTTCACTCTATCTTGGTGAAATTAATTAAAACGGTCTTATGAATAAAAACTCCCAACCTTAGGAATGATGTTTGATTTAACCTCTCACATGGAAATGATGAATAGTTGCTTTGTCGATACTTTGAAAATGCTTAGTCCATAACTCGATACTCTTCTTAAGTTTTGAGTTTGTTGGTTTAAGATCTTGCTATGAACCAAAGCTTTTGGTATGCAAATGCTAGACCCGAGTTTAAGTTGTTGTGGGATTTGACATAGCAAAGAATAGTGTATGCTCTTATCTTGTCCAAAGTGAAATTAAATCACCAGAGTATTTATTTCCAAAATACTTGCTAAAGTTCCTCAATGGTGAGAATCTCCTACCAGAGCCATACATGTTTCTACATGATATTAACTTTCTACAAAAGCTTATTTTTTTATTTTGAGCTTTGTCTGGAAGTACGCAGAAACATGCATGCCATCTTCTACCTCCAAATCACTCCATAAGCAATTTGATGCTTCCATATCTAGCAACCACCTAAGTCAAAGAGGCATGAGATACAAAAGGAGATATGAAAAAAAGAAAGAGAGAAGAGAAAGAAAGAAAAATGAAGAAGAAATATAGCCATGCTATCATACAAGGTGCTAGAGAGAGGATAATCATAAAAGCAGTACCGCTTCTACCATATATCTTTCACACACTTACACTTCTTGATCTCGTTGTATGACTCATTGCTCCTTCGATCCAAGTGTTTTTTACTTTGCAATATATGCAATACAAGTGTGCCTTACATTCATTCTCTACCTATGAACTCCACATATGGCAATAGGATGTAAAGGCTAACACTATGTACTTGGTGAGTTTTCATACACCGCTGAGAGACTTTTGAGTACCATTCAAGCAACTTAAACTTGACTTTTCATGAAACCTCCAGAAGATTTGATCAAACTAAGGATGGGAGAATGAGCATTCTATCTAGCTGTTCCATCTTTCAACTTCTCATAACAAGGTAAAAGCTATAATCCCCCTGATGACTAAGGTAATATGGGTGAGTTCCAATTACCAACTTATTCAAGTCAAGAGATAGAGTGTTGATTTGTATGCAAGTATTTGTGAGGTGTTGATATTGTAGCAGCTTCTGATCCACTATTCTAAGTTTTCATCTTTGCTCAGGACAAGCAAAAAGGCAAGCTTGGGGGAGCTTGCTAATGGCCATTACACACAATTCTAACCATCAACATTGCACTAAAAGTGAAGGTATAGTCAACATCATAGTGATGATCTTTGTTTCAAATAATGTGGTTCCACTTGTACTTGGAAAATTGTTTGAATGCAGGAATAAATGGACAAATTTCATCAAATTAAACACCAGGGGCAAGTGTGATGTGGCAGAGACACCAGGGACCACTTGGTGGGGATTGGGCGACCTTACCATGGGTCGCCCAACCTAGCCCCACCAGGTGCCACATCACTGATCCATGCCAAAGCTAAGGAAACACACTTTGGAGACATCTGATGCATTCGTGAAAGCTCTAGTTTGGTTTTGGTGAATTGATTAAACCCTAAGTGCTAACCTATTCCTCTAAGTGATCATGAGATAGAGTAGCATATTCCAAGTGGTGGAGCAAGTGATGATGATCATGTTGGTGGTGATGGCCATGGTGATCAAGTGCTCGGGCTTGGAAAAGAAGAAAGAGAAAAACAAAGAGCTCAAGGCAAAGGTGATATCCATAGGAGCTTTTATGTTTTGGTGATCAAGACACTTAGCGACTGTGATCACATTTAGGATAGATAGCCGTACTATTAAGAGGGGTGAAACCCATATCAAAATGCGATTATCAAAGTGCCACTAGATGTTCTAACTCATTGCATATGCATTTAGATTCTAGTGAGTGCTGACACCCTTGAAAATGTTTGTGAAAATATGCTAACACACGTGCACAAGGTGATATACTTGGTGGTTAGCATATTTGAGCAAGGGTGGCAAAGTTGGTGAAGTCGAGGAGGTCACTGGGAGTGATCGGACGCTGCACCAGACTCAGCACCGGTGCATTCTGTCAGTGGTGCAGTGAAGAGCGTGATGTTGGTCTCTGACCAGACGCTGGCAAGCGGAGGTGATTGGACACGACGCTTGTGTGTCCAATCCCTGCTGACATATGCTGACGCAAGGTGTTTCGCGAGGAAGGAACAAGCGGACGCAGGGACACGTCCGATCATGCTTGACCTGACACGTCCGGTCGCATTTGGACGG